GAAATGTAGATGCTATGCATTTTGAGAATAATCTGCATCTGTTAAACTGCAGAGGTTTTTTAATGCCACTTTGACACTAATGCACTGACAGATTCTAAATATTTTGTGAGAAGAAATGTTAAAAAATTTTTAGATTGACAGGTTTCTATAGAGAGTTTTTTTTTTTCCTCGCACCGTTGGTTATGTTTATCACTTTACATTTTTGCATGGTCAACTTGTCATGGCTGGAATTTTTGTACAGAAAAAAGACGATTGTGACTTGTAGTTATTTTTTAGATGCTGCTGCTAGATGATGATTTTGCTTTGTGTTTGACAGCTTGTTACTGTTAGGTAACATAGCTGGTCTGTTTCCTTCCAGTTTTTGCAGTATTCACTAGAGGTTCTCTTTGCATGTTGCACTCTGTTTTCATTTGGAGCTTGGGCTCTGTATTAACACAGTATTCATTTATCTGTGTTATTTTGTAAAAGTAATTGTAGCTTGGTGTTTATTTGTACATACCAATGTGAAAAATCTACCCCCCTTTTTATGTTGAGATTACCTTTTGATCAGGAAGTTTGAGTGCTATGCAAATAATAGTGATTTTTCTTTGCATGTCATGTAATATACCTATCCAAAAATAGTTGTGGTGGCTTTTTTTTTTTTTTTAAATTCTTTAAAAACAAATATAATTCACTTGAACTTGACAAACTGAAGCAGATGAGTTTTTCTGGGATCTCTGATAACTTGTAGGAATGCTTGGTTGTTAGCTAGGCTCAGTGAATCTCCACTGTACTGTAATAATGGTTATTTACCTCTGTGCTGTTTTAATTACCTAATGTCTGTGTAACTGCTGATTTGATTAGTGATTAGCATTTAGATATTTTGTAACATAGAATTTTAGAGAGCACTTTGAAAGATAACATTTTATTATGATGGTGCTAGGTAAAAATTCTTAAAGACTGGGATGGTTGTGTGGCAAAGAAAAAATTCTTGGGAGAACCTGTTGAAAGGAATTTCTGTTGTCACCTTCTAAGCTAGAATAGTTGTTGAGGGTACTACTTAAGCCAGTTTTTTTCTTAATATCAATGGCTGAATTATGGATTAAGAAGTTTAGAGGGTCCTTTTATTTTCAGGCCATGCTTTTTTTTTTTTTTTTTTAATGTAGGATTAGCTTACCTGATCATTTTTATTATGACACATTTTGGTAAAAATACCACATTAGAAGTTTCATACAAGTTTGATCTCAGGAGTCCAAAAGAAATTGCTGTTTCCATTGTCCTTTATTTTATTGACTGTGGTTTGATCTGTTTCTGGAAATGTTTAAAAATTGGATAGGAGAGAACACTGCTTATTTCTTTATTGTCACTCTGTCTTACCTCAATTAACAGAATACTTTGTAGCTCCTGAGGACCTGCTTCCTGTTTCCTCTATGTGACTTCCTGGAAATGATGGGAAACAGTGGTGAAAGAGAATTCCAGAGGATGGTACTTTTCTCAGTGACCTCTGGAATAAAAGTACTCTTAATGGTTTTTAAATTACCAGTCTTTGCATGAAGGTCAGTTTGTTTGTTTGTTTTCCTTTAGGTTTTAAATGTATTCATCCAGGGGATTTTGCCTTATGCTGAGGTCAAACTAGGGCCAAACAAGCTTTTGTCCTCCTTAATATTAACTGTATATCATACTGTATGCTGACATGAGATGTAATATAACTAGGCACTATACCACTTGAGCCACACCTCCAGCCATGAGACATATTTCTATTTAAGGGAAAAGAAGTAAAAAGGATAAAACTGAGAATCATTTGTATGTAGATTTGGAAAATATGAAACCACCATATTTTGAAGAACAAATGTTTAGACTGACCAAAGCTCACCTGCTTTAGTTAGGTGCTTTTGCTGAATTGAGTCCAGCCCCCTTTCCTTTAAGTACTGTGTGTGTCTCAGTTCATTTCTTCTCAAATGCATCTTCAGTCCTTGCCCCATGTGCTCCTTGGCAGCTGCTGTCAGCTGTGTAGTCCTCATGTTGTTTGCCGATAAACCACAAGTCCATTTTTATGGCAGGCCTAAACTCAGACTTTGCCCCCATCTAACAGGAGTATGTTTCCACAAACATGCTGAGACAGCTTATTTGATGCAAACTGTCTTCTTACAGCGTTTCCTTTGTGACTCAAGGGTGAATTAAAATGCCTGTGAACTGCAAACTTGCTTATGACTGACTTGGTGCAATAAGTTCCTTTCTAGCCATTTCTGGTTTAGAAAATATTCAGCCATCCTAGAAACTAGCAATATTTATTTTACCTTCAGTTTTAGGTGAGGTAAACTTTTTTTGTCTTTCACTTATGGGTACTAAGCAAGGTCCATTCTAGTGTAGCCAAAGAGAATGCAGATTTGGCCACACATTTTCTGTTTACTGTATTTTGCTCCCTATTTTATGTGTAAATGCTGTTGTTTTTGTTTTAAATCTCGATAATGGCTTACTTCCAGTATATCAGTTTCAAAGAACTAAGGTTTTGCCACTAGTGTCAGCCATTTACTCTCCCACTAATTGGGATTTCTTTTTTTTTTTTAAATTCTTTTTCCCCCCTGAAATACAAGTTTTAGAAAAATTCTTTTAAGAGGGGTGGGTGCATGTCTTAATGCTGGGAAGCAGCAACTTTGGGGTTGAATTTACTTGAATGGATTAAAAATTGCATTGTTACAGAGCTAGAAAAAAATTTATGTATGGAAAAATACTAGCCTTACACTGAGTACAAATAATACTTACAAGCATGTGAAGATGTGATAATTTGTGATGTTACTTGTAAAAAAAAAAAAGTATACATATCTTTTGAAGTGTTGAAAGGAAAATAGTACTTTATATTCTTTATCATATCACTTTTTGTAAGTGTTGAATATATTCCTGTTTATTTTTCTATGTTCTGTTTTGTCGCCTTAAGAAGTGTTTCAAACATAATCTGAATGTATAAAATAAGAGTAAATGCCCTACATGGTGTGATGCTGCATTATATATAAAACTGTGTGCATATATTAAATTCTGTCTCTTGATTCTGCTTGGTTTTTTGGTTCCAGGTTAACCAAGTAATAAGCAGAGAAACGTTAAGAGGAATCTTAGTAAACTTCAAAATAAGAGATGGTTTCCCTGGTGTTTTTCCAGCCAGAAGACAGTTCACAACTAAGAACCATGTGAATTTTATAATAAAGCCTATGGGACAAATAGGAAGTTACTTTCCCTGTTTTATAATCAAACTGAGTGGTGGCTTTTGGACTTGAACCTATTCCAAGTGGCTTTATAGCTAGTATATTTTCAGCAGTTCCCAAGGTGAGAAGTCATTGCTTGCTTAACACAATGTGAACGTTTGTAGAACTAGAGCAAACCTCAGTGCAAGCATTTGATGAGAAACTGGCTTAGTCACAGCGGGAGAGGATGTTCCAGTCAGTGTTGGACAGTTGTGTGGGTCTTTGGAGACTGCTTAGTGGTTTTACCACACAGGGCTGGCAGAGAAGCCAGAGGGGAAGTAAAATGTGTCTAGCTGGTTGCAGCCCTTGCAGAATGGGTTGTTTCAGAAGTTGGAATAAAAGGTGAAATGGTAAAATCAGTGGTCCTCAAGAAATGTCTGATACAGGGTTATTATATATTTCTCTAAGTGCCTTTCACTTGCACTTTCATGCTTTGGGGAACAGTATGAAAATGTAAGTAAGTAGAAGGTTAGTAATGGCTTTCCTCCACAGACCTGTACATGTGAATTTATAGGCTTTTCTGAAAGTGAGCTGTGGATGCCTAAGAATAGGTCAGTAGTTTTAAGTGTTCTAACAGAAACTGAAGACTTTCTATAAATATGCTAGAGCTTTTTTAGATGGATCCTGAGTTCATTAGAGAAATTGGGCTTCAGTCAATCCTTTTTCAATACATAAAAATCCTGATTACATTTTACTTTTTCACATTTAGAAAGAAATTTTTAAAAAGGTGAATGCCAAAGATGAAGAGAGCAGTTCTTGTAAGTTCCTATCCCTTTGACTATTCTGCCTAACAAAACTGGTAGGCAATTTTTCTTTAAAGTAAGAACCTTAGCTTTGGACTAACCACTGTTGGAGTGGACACTAGTTTACCTAAGGGTGTACCTGTTACTGCTGCATGTTCTATGTAACTTTCTAAAGTAGGAGTTAGTAAAAACATTTAAGTCCTTAATGATTTTAAAAGGTATTTTTATAAATGGAGACAAAAATCTAGAAGCACCAACATGAAGTTATACTTTGGGCTGTGCTCCATGAATGGGGGTCAATTTTGTGTGTGTGTGAGAGACTGGAGTTTGAACTGAGGTCTTTATACTTGCACAGACATCCCTGTGAAAGGTCAAAAATGGTAATGTTAAGAACTTTATAGACAAGCCTCTAGGTGAGCAAAATAAGTATTAACTGCTTGATGATCTGTCGTTTGAAAGTTGGTTCATGCAAAACACTTGTTTTATTTTTCCCTATTTTACCAAGTTGTCTTCCCTAAAATTAATCTTGATCATTCCTCCTTATATTTTAATATTTTGTGTATCTCCACATAAATGGAAATGTATCTAACATTTTTGCTTGCGCTGGCCTGGACTGCAATCCTATTTATACCTCCCAGGTAGCTGAGATGACAAATACCTTACCACCACACCAAACGTAACGATTGAGATGGGATATTGATAACTTTTTGCACAGGCTGGTTGTGAACTGTGGTTCTCCCTCTCTCTTCTTTTTGGATAGTACTGGGTTTTACCTGCTAGGCAGGTGCTTTACCTTACCACACGAGGCACATCCCAGCCCTATCTCCACCTCCACCGTGCCTGGCTGTAACTTTTTTTAAAATTTAAATTTATAAAAATTTAAATATCTTAATCCTTACTACCAAATTTTCATTTGCATAAAAATACTACCTTCTGATTAATACATTCTGCAATCAGTAACAACTGGAGAGAATAAGTGTTTTCTTTAGGACTAGGAATCAGTAAATAAAGTTTGCCTTATTCAGAATATCAAAAATAGCCACAAATTTAACCTACCCTTAAAAATAGAACCACTTAGTGTAATTCCATTTACATACAACACAAACCATTTATATACTCTTTAAGTGCATTAAGAAAAAGCACCAAGAATAATGAACACTGGTAATCTCTGAGAGGGTAATATGGAAGATCATTTTTATTCCATATACTTCTGCATATTTGCATTTTCCAGAACAAACACGTATTGTAGATTACTGACATAAGTTTTTAGAAAACCTAACAGGGTCCAGATAAACCAATCTTTCTATTCAGTGCTTGCATGTCATTCAAGGCTTCTAGTCAAGAAGCTGTAATTTCCAGTTTTCCCATTTGCCTGCCCCGTTAATTTAGTCATAGTTTGCTCACTCACTCCATTTTAGTGCGTTAGTAAGGTTTAAATAATTTTCTCTGTACCCAGACTTACAACTGAGCATGTCAGGTACCAAGGGTTTGTATTGCTATCTCTTGCATTGTGCTGCCACGGAAGTGCTTTAGTCTTTGGCTGCCCATCAGAAAAACCTGCAGTCTAAAAAACACAGATAATAGGCACAAACTCGAAAGACTTTTGAGTCTAGTTTTAAGGGAAGAAACGCTTTTTCCTAAATCTCGATCAGTGACTATATACATGTATGTTTAAAAAATGACATTACTTTGAAAACAATTATACAATCTCATAGAATGCAAAAACTGAAAAATCCAGAGTAAAATTAGGGTTTTTCTTTTTTCTTTCACTTGAGTCACACTGAAATGATTTTTAATAAAGATGTTCAAAAGCACCAAAACATTAAAAACAATGTGTAAGTTGGTAACAAATACCCATTTTTCCAACAGTGGTGTTTTGTAGACAATCATCCTTGGAAACCACACACTGATAATAGTGCAAAGACTGAGATCAAATAACAAATATAATCCTGATGTTTATTTATCAAATCCCATCAGTGTATTCAACTGGCTTTCAAAATAGGGCAGTTTCCCCGTACTGGCGTACGTGGCAAACCAGGTTAAGAACAGAAGTCTTTCAAGATTTTTAAAATGGGGCAACACTGGTCAGAATTTGGTACGTGAGGATAATACAGCTACTGAAAATCTTGCCATACATCATGAAAAAAACTTGGAGGCAATGTGTATAGTTTGAAATGTCTTCATTTTAGAATATTATGCTTAATCATTCCGAACAGAACGCTGTTTTCTGTGTACAATCTACAGAGCAACTCGCTGTTGATGTTACATGAAATAAATCATACTTCAAAGCTCCAGAGTATGTGGGGCCATAAAACCTAATTAAGTTCTATACAACAATCATCCCAGGTAAGTGTTTCTTTTTAATAAATGGCTTATGAGTCTAGTCATCCAAGAAAAAGTAGTTTCCACTCTTCTTTTGTTCTACATCCTAGAAAACAGAAGCAACAAAAGTTAGCAACACCATTCTACATGTAGAATTCCACTGAAGGTATTCCTTAGTGGTGTTTGCCATAGTTCTTGCGCAACTCCCTGTATGCCTACCATCTGTGTCTAAACACCACAGGGTCCATTACTCAAAAGCAGGATCACAACCCGGCCCCCATCCCATCCCTATTCTAGAATACTTCATACCAACTCAAGCAAAGTCCTTTTACACAAGATGCTGCACATGTACAAAATCTGCCATGTATTGGAGTATTCCTGGGAAAACTATACCATTTTAAAAAAAGTCCTTTTGACTTTGCCTGGCACAAAAGGTAAGTCAGTTTCAGAAGTGCCTATTATATACAAAAAAAGTTTTCCCAGAACTGTTTATACAGTAGCTAGTAACAAATCCATTCTCCTACCTGCCCAGCTGCTCTTTTATTAGGCTTATCTTACAAATGAGCACACAGAAATAAATGGTTTACTAGGTGGATCTGGGGACTGAACTGTGTGTCTTCCAAAACAAAACAAAACTGAATTTCACAAGAAATTCTTAACTTGTTTTCTCCTTAGTACCTCTTTCAGAACTGGGAAAAATTTTTAATTTTATGGTAGAACTTGTCATTTCTTTGTCCTGACTAGGAAGTAACATCAATCACTTAAAGCCAAAATACACAATGCAAGCTCAAGGGATCCAGATAATGTGTTGGGTGCTCAAGAACACAATTATGTGCAAGGTGACTTAGCCTAAGGTCCTTCAAGAACTCACTGCTTAGGAAAGCCGGCGCTACAAATAAAACAAATGGGATTGCAGACATCTGTACAATGTACTTCTAAAACTGTCAAGTGTTAAAGATGACAGAGACAGGGTGATGAAAGGTTAACATCAGCACTATAGGTGACAAGAGTAAATGCTTTTAGAGTTCACTTTGTACAACCAAAAAACTTTCACCTTTTAAAAAACAAGTACCACATTTCAGACTAAAGAGAAGGCTGCACAATTTTATGCTTTATAAAGACAGAAAGACACTGCCAATTAATCTCAAACAGTTTTTTCCTTCTTAAAATTTTATGCTCATGGAAGGAACCTGACTTACTTTGAGTTTAATCGTGTTTTGGAAAACAAATTAGAAATTTGGTTAATGTATAACGTACTCTTAAAAACTTCTAAATAAAAACTCAATGATGAATTTAAAACGTCATCAGGTACAACTGACACTATGGATATCTCTGAGTCCATGCAGCAACAGTAAATATATGATGGTTGCTGCATAGAACGACTATGGGATGCCATCAGGAATTGAAATGTAAAAAACGTGAACCTTGAAATCAATCCTATATGCTGCACTGACTTATAAAGAAAGACTTCCAATTGTTTATGCTGATAAAAGTTATCCATGACTTGTCAGAGCATCCACCTACCTTAATTGAATTGAGTTTGTTTATTCGTGGTCTATAGTTGTTTGGATCTCTTCTGAATGTAATTTCCAGCTGAGACAAAAATTTGTTCATGCCAGCCAAAAGGGTTTGAGGACTGGAGAGTGAAAAAAATCAATTTTTTTCAACTTTGATTAAATTTTGCTTCCTTAAAATAGCAATCTTTTGGAACAAAAGGAAGTAGTAATCACTATTGCCTCCAATTCTCTAATCATACATCATCGGGTAATAGCAGTATATTATATAATGTCACAACATCTTATAAATCTTATGTTCAGAAATGGCTATAATAGTTTGACAGGCCATAATATTTCTTTGGGTAAAACAATTTAACCTGCATGACACAGAAAGAGTAAACACTGCTGGGTGCCAGTGGCTCACGCCTGTAATCCTAGCTAGCTACTCAGGAGGCAGAGATCAGAAGGATGAGGTTCAACGCCAGTTCAAAAAAACCCTTCACAAAAGAGGACTGGCAGAGTGGCTCAAGGTGTAGGCCCTCAGATTCAACACCACAAAAAATTTAAAAAACCCCACTAAAACAGAATCATTCTTTTTGCAGTGCTAGGGATAAACCCAGGGCCTTGCACATGCTAGGAAAGCACCCTACTATTGAGTTACACACCTAGCCCCAGAAATACTACTTTAAAAAGAAACAAAAACATCACTAGTAAGGAGATTTACAGAATCTCAAACTAAGACTCCTAGGTAAGAAGAGGATTTAGTTTTTGGGTTTTTTTTTTTTTTTTAGTGGGATTGGAGTTTGAACTCAGGGCTTTGTGCTTGTGAAGCAGGCGCTCTACCATTCAAACCACACATCCAGTTCATTTTGCTCTGATTATTTTGGAGATGGGACGGGGTCTCCCCAACTATTTGTCCAGCCTTGCCTCAAACCATATATTCCTCTTGTTCTCAGCCTCCCAAATAGCTAGGATTATAGGTAGCCACCAATGCCTAAGTAGGAGGAGATAATTAAAAAAAAAAAAAGGCCATGTTAGAAATTTGGCAGGAGAAGGGTGTATGTACTTCCACATAGTGGTTTTTAGAAATAACTTTTTATATTACTCATCTTTTTAACCTAAACTGGTTCTTAAATAAGCCAAATTACCACATAGAGATGAAACATTTTAAGCATTTTGTAAACACAAAGGGATGATCATTATGTGAATAAACAAATTAAAGTTTCCCTAACTTTGCAAGAAACATGAAATTCTTAATAACTGGAATAGAAATTTAACATGAAAACAAAGGAATTCTGGGAAGCACGGTACTTTTCTTTCTTGTAAAAAATTATTGAAATAGTAACTCCATTACTTCCTTTCTAATGTGAGAAAACATTATGTTGGAACCACATGAGTCAAAAGTGTTTTGAGTGGTGGTATTTATGGATCAACATAATACAGGTTTAGCACTAACTAATGAAATTTTTCATAAACGGATTTGAATGTTAGACTTCTCTTTATTACAAGTGCTTCCAATCAACCTGGTCTGGAAAAGGGTAGAGTAATTCAAACTTTGCTGTAGGTTAGTGTCAGGTATTTTAGGTCCACTATTAGCTCAACCATTTTCAGCACAAAGTGGGCAAGTATCGTAATCTGCTGGGATCTTCTGTCCCATACTAAAATCAAGAGTTTCCAAAGAATTACTTATGCAAACAAAATCTTGTTTTGGAAATACAAATAATGCAGGTGACAAAAGTTAAGCAGAAAGAAAAGGTGAGGGGCCAGGTAGGGCTCTTTAGGCTTATGGCCCAGGGTCAGGAATTTCACACTAAAGTTTGGAAATTACTATTCTACAAGATCCCATTCAGTACTCAGCCAGAAACTCACTGACTCTCAAGATTATTCTGATTATGTCATTAAAAAAGTTAAAGTGGTCACAAATTTAATGTGTACAGCTTAATGGGAATTTAAAATGTAATAATTTTACCTGTTTGCAACTGTGTTCTTAGATGGAACACCATCAAAAACGATGACCCGATCTGCTAGATAGGTGGCCATGATGAAGTCATGTTCCACAACAAAGGCTGTCTTCTTTGCATGGAGAATGAAGCTAGAAGACAATTTAAAAATCTTTTATACTTCTTATCACAAAACATTCAAGTGTTATGTTAAGCACCTGTGTATGCCAGGACACACAATCACAGCACTAACGAGCAGGACATTTACCGTTTGACAACCCGAGCTGCCATCAGTCTTTGTTCAGAGTCCAAATATGCAGATGGTTCATCAATTAAATAGACATCAGCAGGTTTGCCCAAACAAAGAGCTAACGCTACCCGCTGCAGCTCACCACCAGATAATGTCTGCACCTAATTGAAGAAGTGTTGTGAGATATGTAAAGACACCCAAAATCTACAATGATAAAATGTAAAAGGTAAAGAAAATAATTTTGTTGAGTACCTCCTGATCAATGATGTTTTCAATCTGCAGAGGTTTCATCACATCAGTCACAAATTGTGGATGAGTGTAAGCATCTCTTATCTTTTCATGTAGTAACTGGCGAACACTTCCCTGGTTTTAATGGAAAAAGTATTTAAATGATAAAGTATTGGTACAGACTTGTATTTATGAATTTTTTTTTTGTTTTTGGCAGTACTGGGGTTTGAACTTAGGGCCTCATGTTATGCTTGCTTGGCAGGAGCTCTACCACTTGGAATTGTGCCCCTGACCCTTGTATTTCATTCCTTTATGGCTAAATAACCTTACACACTCTGTACATACACCATATCCTGTTTATCCATTCATCAGCTGACAGACATTTGAGTTGTTCCCACTTTTTTGCTGCTCTAACCATTTGTGTGCAAGTTTGGTGCACACAAGGCATGTTTCGCTGTTAAGGCACACACCTGCGTGCAACTGCTGGTACTCATGATAATTCTAGCTGTGGAACTGCTACATTGTTTTCAAAGAGGCCCTACCATTTTACATCCCCAGCAGCGTATGAGGTTCCAATCTCATGTCATCTCTAACACCTGTTACTGTCTTTTGGATTTTAGTCATCATAGTGGATGTGTAGTGGTACCTCACTATAATTTTGATTTGCATTTCCCAGTAACTAATGACTGAGCATCTTTTCACCTGTTTAATGGTCATCTGGATTTCTTCTTTAGAAAAATATTTTTTTTGGAAAAGCTCACATCAGGGTTTTAAAAATGTAAAGGATTATTTCAGAAAATAGATGGCAAATATTTTAGAAGTACTTTTCAAGTTGGTTGTTGGGGCGCACACCTGTAATCCCAGCACTCAGGAGGAAGATGCAAGAGGACTGCCAGTCTGAGGCCAGCTTAAGACTACATCGGGAATTCCAGGCCAGCTTAGAACTGCATAGAATCTAATTTGGTGAAGGATTTTAATGTTTTTTTTTTTTTTTGGTGGTAGGGATTACACACAGGGCACTGTACATGCTAAGCATACACTCTACCACGGAGCTATTCCCCGTTGCTTAATATAATAAAAGAAAAACTACAGCAAATATATGTAATTTTCTTTAATAACCAAACAAAAGAATAACAACTCACAGTAGACTTAGGACTGATTTTCTGTGGCTTGTAACTGACATTTAGAACTGGCACTTCACCTACAAAATAATGTAAGTACGTAAGACACAAAAACTGCCCATAACACTGAAGGGCTTTGTGGAACAGTGTAAAAAGACACATAATACCTCCTTCATCAGGTTTAAGTCTTCCAGCCAGCATTCTGATGAACGTCGTTTTACCTGTACCTGGGAACACAACAACAAATTGGCTGGAAAGATATTTCACATTTCAAATAAAAGCACAATGTCCAACTTGCTTGCTTATTTATTGATTGATTGATTGATTGTGTGGGACTGGAGATAAATTCAGGGCTTCACATTTACAAAACAGATGTTCTACCACATGAGACATACTCCTAGTCCGTTTTATTCTGGTTATTTTGGAGATGGCGGTCTCATGAACTATTTGCCCAGGCTGGCCTGGAATCCCACTCTTCCGGATCTCAGCATCCTAAGTAGCTAGGATTACAGGGGTGAGCCACTGGAACCTGGCCCTGAAATACACTGTGGACTTTAGAAAGTTACACATAAAAATATTTAAATCTTTCATGATTCACCTGTCAATAGCAGTCTAAGCTTATTTGAAGTAATAAAGACTAGTCCAATTATGTAATCACCATTTTAAAGTATGGTAAATGTATAAAAGTTTAAGACTTGGGATAATTTTTTTATTGAGCTAAATTATGAATGCACACAACTTATTAAAGTAGCATAGGCTACTTTATGACAGACATTAAAATTCATTTAAAATGAAATGAAAATATTTAAACTGCAAACCAATTGTAAATGTTGACTGATATAATCGGTATACAAAATTTTTCCTTTACAGGTTTGTAAGTTGTAGGATTACAATACAAATTATTATTACTATTTTTTTTGTGGTACTAGGGTTTGAACTCAGGGCCTTACACTTGCGAGGCAGGTGCTCTACCTCTTCAAACACTCTGACAGTCCTGTCTTGTGTTGAGTATTTTCGAGATAGGGTGTCACAAACTATTTGTCCGGGACTGGCTTTGAACCAGTCCTCTTGATCTCTACTCCCGAGTAGCTAAGGTTACGGGCATGAGCCAGTCACCTGGCCCAAATTATTACTTTTAAGTCACAAAGATAACAAGTACTTAGTAGTCAGATTTGTATTACAGTTTAAGTTATGATGACAATTCAGCATTAAAATGTTGATAAATGTAACAATTTATAAAGACTGAATACCCTAAATTTATTTTTTTTTAATTTGTGGAGTTCCCTCCCTTCCTCCCTCTCAAAATAAAAAGTCCAAGAGGGGTATAAGGAAAATATTTTTATACTGGATTGTTTCTGAATTACCAATTTGTCCTTCCTAGTCATTTTGCAAGATCAATAACTGTCTTGCTAATTTATACATAGAAAAACTACCTAACATGTCTTATTTTCAATGAAAATTATGAGACCAAATAATAAATATTAACCTGACTGATACAAGATTAAATTATACCATGCCACAAAAATGTGAAGTTACATCAAGAAATTTATGCCAACCTACAACTGCAATGTTTTCTATGGAACAGGTAAAACTAGTTTGGGTAAATAGAACTGAGTTCTATATAAAAAATGACAACTCACCATTTTCCCCCAGCATCACCATGATTTCAGAATCTGTAAATTCTCCAGCCACGATTGCTAGCTCAAACTCTCCCATCTTTTTCTTCATCCCTGGATATTTATACATACACATCTTTTTAACTTCTTCTTCATTTGCTGTCTCAGCCACTTTAAACACAAGTGATGCATCTCGGAACCTCAAGTTTTCTGTTGGTACATAGCCATCCAGAAAAATGTTTATGCCTGTTGGGAAATAATATGCCAACAGATCAGTAAAGATCCATTAGAGACTACATTTGTAGGAGCAACCTGTGCATAGATTTTAAATTTCTGTGGACTTTTGATAATATGCAGGTCTGCCTACGGTTTTTCACGTTTAAACAATGTAAGTTTAACGTAAATTTAAACGATTCATGTACGTCTATGTATGTGGCTATAAACACACCCAACTCACATACAAATACAAAAGACATCTTTTTCTTAGTGAGAAAGGGGTTTGAACATAGGGCTTTGTGCTTGCAAAGCAGGTACACAGACGCTTGAGCCACACCTCCAGTCCATTCTGCTTTAGTCATATTGGAGATGAGGTTTCATGAACTATTTGCCCAGGCAGGCCTCAAACCTCAATCCTCCTGATCCATTCTCCTAAGTAGCTAGGTGCCTGGTGAAAGACATTTCATTATGTGACTGAAGATTATCTGAGGTTTTTCTTTCCCACCAGGTTTTATGTAAAAGATAGAACAAGATGTCATTTTTGCTGTTTTCTTATATCAAAACTGTCATTTTTGTTTATGTGAAGGAGGCGGCAAGAATGGAGCATTTTCAGATTGAAATAAAATAGAGAATCATTTTTTAAATAATTTAAGTTATGGTATTCAATTTCTAGAGATAATCATAAAATCTGAATTTACTGCATTACATCTTTTTCAAGTTAATTTTGTAGTTTCATAGGAAAACAAACTAATTCCACTCAATGTAACCATTATATAACCAGATTTTAATAAATGAAATTAAACTATCATTGCATATGAAAATCACTCCTTATTAAAATTATAAGGCCACAATGGCAGACAGAAAAGAAAAAGTGGATTATTAAGGAAATAATGAAAGAGTTCTGGAAGGTCTTGAAAGAGTCTAAGAAGGTTGTTCATTTCATGTGGAATTAAGACCCATGTCAGAGGCATGACAGCCTAGAACATGGCATACAATGAGCCTTGGCTGAGAAAACAAATGAAAATACACTTATTTAATCATTTTGCCAAAATCAGCATTTTTGACCTTAAGCTAGTTAAAAATTATAAAGTTAAAAAATTTAAACAAAAACAAACGATGATAAGTTAATAGGCACTTAGTCAAGGTGTCTAATTTTTAAGTTAGGGCAATTAAAACTCAAAGAAGTGTACTTTGCTCAAAAATCATGGGAAGTCAGTCTTTATATTCCACTGCCATGTTTGCCTTGTCAATTTATAAACGAGTTCAAACTGCAATGATCTTTACAGTCCATCTACACAGTGCCTCACTTATATATGGTGCATTATTTCAGTACCTGAAAGGAAAGCAAAAAGATTAGGTGGAGTTTCTTTCTTCGTTTTAATAGATGAAGCACACTAAAAACCACTTATTTAATGGCACAATATTCAGATATGGCATTTACAGCCAGGATTGTGAACAATGACTGCTGAGTACTCACATCACTATAAACCTGACTCTGGAGCTACATGTTACTCAACAAATACCTGCTACCTACAGAGAACAGAACATTAATAATTGCTTCTGAAGAGCAACCTCACAATTTAATTTTCTTAAAATACACATCTATTTATTTTAAATGTACAAGTAGCTAAGTTATAAAAATTCTTTTCCCTCATCTTAAGTTAAAATATTTATTCACTTCCTTATAAATTATAGAAGCTACCACCATTTTTTTTCCCTTTAGTAGTGGTATTGGGGATTGAACTCAGGACCTCTAACTTGCTAGGTGAGTGCTCTACCACTTGAGTCAAGCTCCAGACTGCTACCACCATTTTTTAATGAAAAAGATGTGATGCAATGTAAATTTACTTTTCCAAGAGAGTTGTTTTTAGTTATCTCAATCTCTGAAAAGACAGAAGAAACACCATTTAGAGAACCACTAAGGCTACAGGAATTATAGTTGTAGAATATGGATTGTTTGTTAAGATACAGACTGAGTTAGTCCTTTTAGTATTCTATATTGTCAACTTAAGAAAGACATAGCTGGAAAGAATACAAAGTAAAGAGGCAACAGAAAGAAAAAGAAGAAATTAAAAGGAAGGGAATGCAAGGCAGAGAATGCATGGCTAACTTGTTCAGGAGTCACTCTATAGTTTCTACTTTGGCTTAACTTGCACAGGACAGGAAACATAGAAGAAAAGATCTGAAAGTCCCTGTTTCTTCAAAGTGGAGGAAATAAATGAAAAATTTAACTTACTAACCTATCATTAGATTTCAGGTAACGTTTCCACAAACTTATGACAGAGATTAGAGATAATTTTGAAACGTGGAAGTAGGATGAGCACTGAATGGTGTTAGCCTGACAGAGACAAATTTCAAGATGACAAATACTGCAGAAGTCAAAATACAGAAGACTTTTTAATATAGTGAAAATACTGAAATTAATGTTTCCCAACAGAAAATGCTCCAAAAAAGAACTATCTTTTCTGTAACTGATGTATACAACCTTTTTAATATACTACATTCTCCACAGTGATTAAATACCAAGAGATCACTGCTTTGCATAAATATTAGAACAATACAAAACTACTTATTATCAATAATACATTTTCTAAGCATTAGAATACAGCATATGTGAAAAGTTTTTCAAGTTACCTTCTCTTACACTAAAAGGCATAGTGACAACACCATAAGCACTCGGTACACCATATAAACAGCAGATGAAGTCAGAGAGATAGTCTAATACACTTAGATCATGCTCCACCACAATGATATATCTGAAAATCAAAACAAACTTTTATTTTTAAATTTAACATAACAAATAAAAATTTGCTAAACTCTTACATAACTATTTCTTTTTGCTTTAGTTGCAAATTTTAGGAAAAGAAAGACATATTTAAAATAATTTAAGTATAAGAACATATTAAGTAATGCCGTATTTTCTTACATGAGGCTCATTGTTAATGCCCATATTTAGAAATATTTTCCTTAACTAAAAGAAAAATCTAAAAACATAAAAGTTTCTAGATACATGAAATGTTTTGCTACTAAGAAACATTTAAAAATAACCTTTACAAAGTAGGAACAATTACACTGCACTCAAATGTAGCCTAAATTGTGTGAATTATATGCTATTCATCTTATGTATTGAGCACTGTAGCATATCCTGCCTGTGTTAGCTGTCGTAGGGGTTCATACAGAAACACAAAATGGAATTTTTCACCTAAGAACTTTGAATTTAGTCAGATAAGAGGATAAATAGATAAACAACAGTGACAAAAAGCTACATGATGGTCTGGAGGTGTGGCTCAAGCAGCAGAGCACCTGCTTTGCAAGCACAAAACCCTGAGTTCAAATCCCAGTCCCACCAAAAAACAGAAAAAGACAAATTCTACAGATGAGAACCAGTGAAGGTCCAGAAGAAAGGAAATAGGTAAGTGTGCAATAAAGCACCTTATACAGATGGGATAAGATGTAAACCTTATGGTGAATTTGAGTAAAGTGATTAAAAAAAAGTATTGCTATAACAGAAGTCATCAAACAGTCATGAAGCGTTTATATAGCATTTTATTCCTATTCCGACTTAGTTCAAGGTATTAAAAATTAAGACCTACAGTCATCTCAAATACCAACTTAATGTATGAGCTTTCTGCGTGAATAAGAATTTCTATCTCTCTTAATGGAATTATTATCCTCATAAAAACACTTTATTTCCCTTACTTACTTGACAATATAAATTGTCAAGTCTGTGAATTCTTTCTCAAAAATGGCTTGTATATCAATTTCATCCTTTTTCTCCCCTCCTAGATTCTTATTCAGGCTCTCATTATACTTCTTTTATGTTACTGTACACTTTGGAAAAATCTCACTTTCTTCAGGTCCCCTGATGTGGCTCTCCATTCAACATGAAATGAATAGACTTAGACTCTCTTTCAATACTTTTTTGATGGGTGCTGAGGATCAAACCCAGCGCTTGCATTCTAGGCAAGTGTTCTACCACTAAGCAACAGCCCCAGCTGGAAAAATCAATTTCTGCCCAAATAATTCATGTTTCCATTTTTTCATGTTTAAGGGGCTACTTCCTTTCTTAGTCTCCTACCAAAATCTTCAGCTGGTGAAATCCCATTTAACCCTTATTTAAGGTCCACCTGAAATCCTATTCAATGTAGGAATACCTTTGCTAACATGCAAATGAATTTTTTTCTTACTCTTGAACCCCTGTAAGTATCTGAACTCCTCCCTCAATCTCCTTCAAATAGAGGTTACAAAGGTTAATAGTTCAAAACATGACTTTGGTCTGTCACTATTCTCTGAAGACTTGGGAAGAATTAGAAAATCGGTATCATAGTAAGAGATCTGTACTGTCTATATTAAGAAAATTTATAATTTTAGATTACCTGTTAGTGTTCAGTCTGATTCTCTAAAATCTTGTCTATCATTGTTCCTTTCTCCAACTTACCTGTTTTCTAGTCCTTGCTATTTTCTCAAGAAATGATCTCCAAAATCTTTTTATAACATTAAATATGCTTATGACACACAGAATTTCAGAATGGAAAAATACTTCCTGTGGCTCTTTTTCAATCTATCACTACATACTGCTTATTTTAAACTCAATCTATAAATAAGATCTGTATTATCTGTAAAAAAATATTAATCACTGTTTTCACTGTCTTAACAATTTACCCCCATTACAATTAAAGTTACTATATTCTCTCATAGGAAAGTCTTGTGTAGTATTAATTTTTCTCACTAGTTTTCCCCGAAGTCCACACATACCTGTGTTTATTTCATCCTCCTATCCTTCCTATATGAAATAGCTCCTTATCTGTCAAGTTTTTTCATTACAAGTGAGTAAAAGCAGCGACGTCTCATTTTCTAGTGATCTGCCTAAACACTTACAAACTGAAATGAAAGTCTGTTGGTTATGAACTACTTTCCCTTTAGCTTTTCTTTATGGCTAGGACATTATTTGATACTGTTAAAGTTATATATGATGGTAAATAATCTAAGACATTCATTTTAGTAAAATAAAGGGTTATACAAATACTTCATAAAAAGGGCAAGAACCATTGACCTGACTGCTTCGTATTTAAGACTAGGATACATGTGTATTCTTTACCTTTAACACATTGCGAAGTCCTTCAATACTGGATTATGTTTTTATACTTGCATTCCCCAAAGATACTATTATATTGTTCAAGTATTTGTATAAGGTGAAATTATGGCTACTATTTTGTCATCTAAGAATTCTTTACCACTGATACTGAGTTTCACTTTGAAGTATTCAGGTGAATTATTTGTCCTTGGGTAGGACTTATACTCCTTCAATTTAAGGAGCTGTGTTTTTCATTATTTCTGAGAAGTTCCCTGCCATGATGTTTTCGTGCCTTTATTTTCCAGATTCCTAAGACACATGCAAATAGTCTTCTCACTTCATGCTCCATGTTTTTGAGCCCCTACCCCCTTTATAATTTAGTCTCATTCTCTCTCTGCTGTATTCTACTAATCTTCAGACCAATTTTTAAGGTTTCTCATCTTGTCCTAACTCATCTAATCTGTCCAGGGAATTTTTAATGTTGGTAAATTTGTAACTTCTACATTTGTTTGGGTTTCTGAACAATTTATTTTGATCTATTTTTTTTTCTTGCATCATATTCTCAGGGTTTGAATATTTTTAAACATCAGATGTTATTACTTTGGAGAGTCTCTTTCAGAAAGTGAGATGAAAGTTCTAATCAACTGTCTTGTGTAGATTTGCTGACCACATTTGTAGATGGTTTTCTGTCATAATTTTATAACCCTAGATCTGAGCTCATGCCCATGTCTTTACTCGTAGGAAGTTTGTGCAATGAGAGTTGAGGGTGTGTCCCTTCAAGTGGATTTTTATTTGCTTCTGCTATGTATCATAGAACTAAAAATTCCAACATCCCCTTTGTATGCTTTTTCACCCTGCAGGGTTCATGGACCCTACTGGTTGTATAAATTAAGATTCCATAGCCATATGGTCTGTTGGACCAAAAACAGATTTAAAAGATAGCCAGCCACCACTCCATTTCCTAAGTGCTTTCTTGACATTTCTAGTTTCTGATAGGTAGTTTGTTTTCAACTTGCCTTTTTGCTGAAAGGCAGTCCTTTCAAAGTTCTGGCATATTATGTGTAATAGTCTAATTCAAGGCTTTGGTTCTGTCCACCAGGGGGTCTAAAAACCCAAGACCAACATTATATACAGACCTGCAAAATCTGGCAAACCGTGCCCTAATCTTTTATATATTTATACTTCTCACTTTGGTTTTTGATCCCTTGGAATTTCTTTTGCTTTCTTGCAAGATAAAGTCATGTGAAATGATGTTTATTGAATAGTTACTAAGGAAAGATGACATGGTATAAAAAACCTTGTGTCAAAAAACCCTGTGTCTGGTTGCAGCTTCTTTATATGGTAAATCTGTAGCCTAGAACAAGTAACAATCCTTGCTGACCTTATATTCCTTCAACTACAAAATAAGAATACTACTTAGAGATTCATGACAAGATTACCATGAGGATCAAATTAGATAATGGATTAAAAACTGAAAAAGACCCTATGAATACATGGCATTGTGATTGCTTAACAGAGGTTAAGAACTCTTTACTCAGCAAATTCTAAGCACCAGCAATACTCTGATGATTCTTAAATCTCTTATGAGAGAGATTTCCATTTGAGGCACTGGGAAAAGCTAAGGATGATTTGCTTCTCTAGAACATATATATATATATATGCCAAAATTTGCAAATAATTTCAGGATATTCCTAGGTTCCCTAGAAATAGGAGTGTTAATATCTGAATCTTATATCAAGAACTAAGAGGAAGGTAAATATTTTATTTTATTATTTTTCCAATAGTACTGGGATTTGAACTCAGGGCCTCACATCTGGTAGGCAGGGGCTCTTACCACTTGAGCCATGCCCCTAGCCCTTTTTGCTTTAGTTACTTTTCAGGTAGGATTTTTGCATGCACTGGCCTCAACCAGGATCTGCCAACCTCGTAGCTGGGATTACAGGTGTGAGCCATTGTGCCCAGCCTAAATGGCAGCAAATTCTGGTGATGAACAACATGTATATGTACATGTTCGATCCTTACAAGTCTGTAAAACCCAAACAAAACAACAAAGGAATAGTCCAGATATGTACTTACCTATCTGGATTTATTAGAGATCTGATAGTAATAGCAGCCTTTAAACGCTGCTTGACATCTAGGTAACTAGAAGGTTCATCAAACATGAAACTACAAAAAAAGGAAAAATCATTATAATTCTGAAAGACATACAACATAATTATATCTTACATGTTCTTTTAAAGTACTGTAATATCGATGGCTTCTGATTTAACAAAGATTTTCTCTTATACTAATGTAGAGAGGATATGTATAATGGTAATAATTTCTGTACTTTGTTTAGAAGTAGAAGCAAGCAATTATGAAAAGCAGAATTGCACAGTAAATTTGAGGAGACTCTCCCACATTGAGAGTAACATAAATTGGCACCTCCAGGTGAAAAATATTCTGATATTGAGTCTGAAGTTGTTCAAAGAGCTTTTCTCTTAATTAGTTAATGTCCTAATGCATTAAAGCAACAGCTTCTTGGAGGACACTTTACAAGCCTTTACTGGATACCACAGTGGAAATGTGGGCAAAGGTGTGAGTACTAAATACCTGAAAGAAGAAAGATACTGTGGAGGTAGGAAGGAAATTTGCCTTTTCCACTCCTTTTTCTGCATGGCATGCCACCCCAAATGGAAGTGGTCTCAAGGACCTTGTTTTACATGAGGCATTTAAAAAGCTTATTGGTCTGGCTGAAGAGCTTAAATCTTAAAACTTGGAATCTGCAAGTCAAAATTACTTGTCAAAATAAATGATAATTTTCCCCCCTGCAGGAATAACAAGAGGGAAAAATGGGTAGTTGATTCACAACTGTCTCAACATATTTCCTCAAAATTTGAGCCTTAAGACACCATGTCTATTAATTTCTGTCAAATCAAATAAAAACTCGAAAATAAGGATTAAGATATATAAAAATTATAAAATAACCTACATATCAGCTTTCTGTATGCAAACGACAGCACAAGCAAATCTCTGCAACTCTCCTCCTGAAAGGTCTTCAACATTTCGTTCTTTTAGGTGAGTTAGATCTGTAAGGAGCAATTCAGGCACTGGGTTCAGCATTATAAACTTCACCTTGCCTCTTCTGGGCACAATGTACACTGGCTGAAATTACTCTGGGTCTGAATGGCATTTCCATTGAAAGGTGTGTAACATAACAAGTCAATGTGACAAGTGGTAGAGCTTTCCCCGTTTTCGTCTGTAATCCATATAAAGGTGTACATGTACCTTTGTAACTGTAAGTTCAGGGTCTAGTAAAGCACACACAATAAGCACTTACCCAGCTGCTGACATACAACTGCCTGTGTTTTTGTTTCATCCTTTCGGTCTAAGATAGACCCCACGGTCCCCTGTTATAATATATCAGAACTAGTCACCACCAATAAAGAGTCCACTTTGATATAACTTTAATGCTTTTACCCAATAACAAAAATATATAAATTCTCCCTATAAAGTAACTGACCTTTGCAGCCTTGGGAATCTGGTCCACATACTGAGGTTTGATGATGGCTTTTAGGTCATCTTCTAGAATCTTGGTAAAGTAGTTTTGTAATTCAGATCCACGGAAATAAGTCAAAATTTCCTGCCAGTCAGGAGGATCCTAAAAAAAAAAAAAAATCACATAATAATTATCTGAATTTAAGTTAAGAAAACAACTGCAAAGAGGATGAATGCTATAAAAAATAGAACATATGCCCAAATAGAATACTTCTGGCTCCTAAATTAACATTAAGAGAAGGTGGAGATAGCATTAGCAACTCAAAGAAGTTTAAGTAAACTAAGAATATTCAGTTAAGTAGCACTAAAATATTAATTAAAAAAAAAAGAAAGAGATTCAGCTATAGTTTTTCAGAATTAAACCCACAAATTATCTCGATAAGAAAACCCCGGAAGACATTAATTTTTATAAAGTGTGAATACATACATCATATTTCCCAAGGTTTGGCTTTTGCTTTCCTGCTAAAATTTTTAATGCAGTTGATTTTCCGATACCATTAGTTCCAACTAATCCTAAAACTTCACCTGGACGAGGGATTGGCAACCTGTTATAAAATAAAACAAAAAGCAAAAAGCAACTCAGACTTAGGTAGAATAAGCTATATAACAAAACTATTTGTTTTAATGCATTTGCAGCTCACACACATCCACTAAGAAGCTAAGAAATATATGCCAGATATTATTGGCTATTAGAAAAAAAAACAGCCAAGATTAACTTTAACTGTTAATTGTTAGGAAGATGCATGACCAAGATTACTCCACATTTTATTTACCAAGTTCTTATTCAAAGCCCATTATTTTAAAGTAACATATTTTCTTACATTTTAAGGCTTAGTTTTAATGTACAAGAAAATGCTGTGGAAAAAAAATTTCATAGCAGGTGCAACCTCACACTGTCATTTTTTAAATGTGTGGCCTGCCGTTTACTTACAAGGAGAGAAGTTCCACTTCATTCTCCCTGCTTCAGTTGGCTCTTTAAAGCTGGCAGGTTGAGAAACACCTTTTTATTAGTAAATCTAGTTTCCCAGATTCAAAATATTAATGTTCAGCAGATAAAAACCTTAAAGAATTAAGAATTTTGTCCAAGTTCATTCAGAATGATATTCCCTGTGGACATTAAGATTAATGGATAAAAGAAATCAAAGGCAATCCCTTAAAAGTTACAGAGGAGGAAAAGGGTATTATGAATGGCAGTGATTTTCAATCTTGGTTATATATTAAGAATCACCCAGGACTTTTTCATCTTCCTTAGGTCCAGTTCCTATATCCAGAGATTATAAATTCAAGTGGGTTAAAACCTGGGAATTAGTTGTTTAAAAGCTCCCTAGACTTAACTCTAATATTAACAAGAATGAACCACTGACATATACAATATGATTCTGCATCATGTTCTAATATTCTGTTTCCCTTTGGTGGGTGGTCAATATAATTTTTTCCATTTTTCTGAAAATTTCAAATGTGTTTCACTCTTTGTTTGAAGAAGAATGCTGACTAGAAAATATACCTGTGAAGTTTGAAAGCATTGGCACAATATCGATGTGTTGTTTCCTTTTCCAAGTTGCTTGGTAAGTTGACAATTGATAAGGCGCCAAAGGGACATTTCTGTTATGTAAAGAAGCAGTTCTGTATTAATTTGTAGAAATATAATACACAACTAAAGTGGATTAAGAATATTCTTATAAGCATTCTTCCAAATGTGGAGGTTTCACAAAGACGTGAAATATTGTTTCATTTCTTTTTCTTCCTTAAAGGCTAAAATGTTACCACTCTCTTTCACGACCGGAAAAATCCTAGACATTAATACTTTTCAAATTCCATCACTAACAGATGCTTTCTTTCCTTTTACTTCCTGTATTAACTATTCCTATCCTTGTATACTTTTTTTCCTGCCTTAGATAAAGTCTTTTAAGATCTTGGTTTTTATCTTTTTTGGGGGTTATTTCTATTCTACCAATAGCTAGAATATCTGTACAGACCAAGGATTAATGCCTTTCTATCATGACTTACATCCATCTCATATAAAAAATGCTTCATCGCTAACTAAATTCATATTTAAAAAAGAAAACACTCATAGATAACCATATACAAAATAATATTTAAATATGAGATGAATGTGTACCCAAAAAGAATGGCAAGCACAAGATTATTAAGAGTGGGAATGTGGCTAGGAAAATATCTCAGAACAATAGACAATGATAGAGTCATACCCCAAAAGTAAAATCTCAGACTAGAGATTGTTTAACAGACAAGTTCACCAAGGAAGGATTGATTCAGAAGTTTCTCTATATAGAGATTTCACAATTTTATAGACTATAAGAACAGAATTTTTTAAAAACCTTATTTTCCAGTAATCCGTATCTACTATTTCTTCACATTATTTATTTGTTTCTTCTACTGTTAATTCTTTACAATTGTATTTTTCTAGGCTGGGGATGTGGCTCAAATGGTAGAGCACCTGCTTAGCAAGTGGGAGGCTCTGAGTTCAAACCCTAGTATCACCAAATACAAATATTTATCTATCTATGTATATATCTATATATTTTCCCCCTGCCAGTAAAGTCATCTTCATTTACAAAATATCTACTATCTTCTTTTCATTAACGTACATAAAATGGTTGTAGGTTGCAAGTAATTTTAAACTAATGCTGCATGGAAAAAATACCCATACTGTTCATAAATAAGGTAAATTTAAGTAACTTAGTATTCAAGAAGTATACCTTATACTCCTACTCTAAATAGATTAACTTAATTATTATTTATTTGGCTACTCAAATGAACATCCAAAATCTCAGAAAATAGTCTTCTTACAGTAGCAAAAAAAGAAAATAAAACAGATGAGTTACATTATTCAAATCAGATGCCTAGTACCTAGGACACAGGCAGGGATATGTAATAAAATTAGTAAATATTTGCTAGAAGGAATTGTTTTTAGCTTATGGTTTCAAAACATAGGAAAATGTATTCAGGTACCCAGGAAATTTTTCTGGACACTTAACCAAGGATTCAGAAACTGAAGTAGAATACACCTATACTTTATTTAAACAATTTATAGGGTGGTATCCATACTGGTGAAGTTCCTTTCTATATTACCTACAAAAAATATCTAAATTAAGAACTTTATACAATGGTTCCAAAACTCCTCTTATGAACTAAAGTTGGAAATTTACCGTTCGTAAGTTAACACTTTTCATATTCCACCAGTGTATGGAATTCTATCCCTTTACTTCCTGTATTTAACTATTCCTGCCCTTGTATACATTTTTTAAATTTGAAAAAAATTAAATTTTTTTAAGTTAAAAATTTTTTCTGCCTGGAAGTGAGGGAGGTGGAGGTGAGGCAGCGGGGAGAGGCGGCCTAAACAATGTATACACATATGAATGAAAGTATAAACAATTAAAAAAAATAAAAATTTTAAATTAAAAAATTTTTAATTTCATTAAAATTACTGAATGCAACTAAAACTAATTGAACTATTTAAAAATTATACTATTAAGACAAAGATAATTAAAAAATAGGTAATATACAGCAGAAGAAACATGTAAGGATTAAATTTCAAAACTTTCGGCTGTGTGTCTTTCTACTTAAAAGTGAATATAAACTGACTTTGTAGTACGATAGTCATACTTGACATTTATATGTCCAAAACATTCTAGTAAAGCCATACTGGAGAATGTTCTCATAAAAAGGTAAATAAAGAGAAATAAGCTGGCTGGAAAAGGCCAAAAAATCTTATTAAGAGTATATATATTAAGAGTAACTTCTTAAAGCATGGTTTAATTAACATAAAAAGCAACAACCCTGTTAAAAGGATACTACTTTCCTAAATTTTTACTTTTTATTCAGTCATCCTATACTTTGTCTTTAAAAGTAGTCATAAATTATTTCCAATTTTCAGATTTCATTTTTGGGCTGCAAATTTGACCTAATAAATAAAATGTTATCACTTACCTTAATACAAATACCACAACCAATACAAAGAGTTTCAGAAATCCACGCTATTTTGCTCTGAGGTGTAACTTCTATGCATAATTTTCCTGGTATAGAAAATGATACAATTAAGTACTTCCTCCTGATCTTCTAGAATTTTGTGAATATTGCTATTTAGGCCATGCTATTTCCAAATTCCATGGGGAGCAAATTTTCCAAAACAAAGACCACACATAAAAATACATTTGAGAGAATGTCTTAACCAGTACTGTGTGGGGGTAAACTTCTGAATTAAGTTTCTGAGGTTACTAATTACATTAGTATCCTGTCAAGCAATAGGCAGATGATTAATGTATTTTGTTTAATTTTCTAGTGGAGAAGAAAATACACTAGTGAAAATGATGCTATTTTAAGTTGACATTCTGAAATCTCTTTCCTCCCTCCCTCTCGTTCTTTTTTTTTTTTTTTTTTTTTTTTTTTTGGTGTTGGGGAATGAATCCAGGGCTTCATATATGCTAATTATTGAATCAATTCATAAAACAAAATACGCCTTGGAAATGGTAAAGCACATTCAAAGAGAGGAATGAAATATGTTAGCTAGATTAGTGAAATTCCAAAAAAGTATGTAGTAATCTAATACACAGGTAAAATTAAACATTGTATTAGGGATATTAACAACAGTTTTGGAATTGCATGGGAGACAGTAACAAATGAATCTAAATTTTCTCAGTTTTTCTTTTTGGTGGTACTGGAGTTTGAACTCAGGGCCTCACGCTTGCTAGGCAGGCACTCTATCACTTGAGCCACTTCTCCAGCCCCTCTAAATTTTCTCAGATTTATTAAGTTTAGACTTCACAAGTACAGGTAGCAATCACATAACACAGCACTACTGCCAACAATATGTCAGGTACTGATAGAAATTTCATCTTGAAAATATAGCAAAACTTCATGAAGTTATAAGCTCTATATTCTTGTTTTATTTTTAAAGATGAAAATATTATCAGTACAAACTTTTTAGGGAATCTTCCCCCATGACTTAAAAAGTTGTGGAATAGCAAGACTCACAGTGACCTCTGGTTTGACTTCACATTCAGTGAAACTTTTCAATACTGACATTTAACATTTAAAAAAAATGGGGGAGGTAATCATTGAGTCACAAAGTGATAAAAGAAATTTAGAACAAACTGAGTTTCTCATCCTTATAATTTAAAGAAACTAATGGGGATAGCTAAGTATATGCTAAACTCCATACAAAAACTATCTAGTCAGTTAATTGCCTTTTAAAACCTTTTTTTAACTCTTAAATGATCCACAGAACAGCTTACCCATTCGAACCACAGGGCAACTCTTTTTGCACTCCTGTCGACATTTCTTAGGTTTACATTTGTCATGGTTGACAATAGCAATCCTTGTTAATTTGTCCGCCATAATTTTAAGAAAGTAAGAATATCCAGCTCTTCTATTAAAGAAAAATTAACAAAATTAAGGTAGTCAATGCAATTAGGTAAAAGAAATCTCATAAGCATAGGAATATAAAAATAACAATTATATGGAGATGGTATGATTATCTGGAAAACACAAGAAAAATGTAAAAATGATCAAGTAAGGTTGGAGAAGCAAAATCTAGTATAACCTTCAGATATACATAAACTCTTTGCCACTTATAGTAACAACAAAAAAGAAAACAACTAAGAATGTAATTATAGGTATGAGAAAACTTTAAAAACCAGTAAATGACAAAAAAGATCTAGCCAAATAAAATGATACACTATCTCAGTTTTATAATAAAGAAAAGTCTTTTTTTGGGGGGGGAAAGGGCTGCTGAGGTTTTTAACTTAGGACCTTGTGCTTGCTAGGCAGGCACTCTAAAACTTGAGCCACACATCCAACTTTCTGCTTCAGTTAATTTTTAGGTAGATTCTCTGCAATTTGTTTGGGCCCAGTCTTAGCTATCATTCCGCCTACCCAAGGCCTCTGTAGGTGGGATTACAATGTGCCCCACCATACTCAAACTTGTTGGCTGAGATGAGGGTCTTGCTAACTTTCTGGCTGATCTGGTCTAGAACCTTGATTCTCCCAGTCTGTGCCTCCTACATAGCTGAGTTTACAAGTACAGTCCACCAATACCAAAGAATTCAATCTTCCCTATCTTTATATATTTAATCCAATTTCATGGGGGCAGCGAACAAAACAAACTCCACAGTGAACCAATGAAACCAAATCTAAAGCTCTTCCAGAAAATGGATAGCCAGGAAAATTTCTGAAAGAGCAAGGATGGGGGAACTTTCAGTTGACAAGGTTACAAAAAATTATATAACGACATATAGACCGATAAGATAGAAAGACCAGATATAAAAAACATTTGCAAAGATGTCTGCTCCCCAGCCCCCCAAAACTAAGCATTACTTCACATTCTCATTCAAATACCACTAATGGAAATGGCAAATAATTAGGGCTGATTGATCAAAGTAAAAACTGAACTTCCCTGGGAACTTGTGATAGGCCAGATGGACTTTATGCTAACAGCAATGAAATAAAAAGGAGATAAAAAGAAAAAAACCTCTATGTATGTACTGTGCTCACTTTCAAAGCTTTGATAAGTCTTGATATATAGTTACATACTATTAGGATCAATGAGAACTTAATTTTTATAAATTTGGGCCCAGTGCATAGATACTAATTTCCTTAGAATGGTGATTAAATAATTCCAAAAAGTGCATTCATACTCCAGTTTACCCCAAAATGTAATGAAGGGACATGAAGTCAAAAGACTATCAAAGACCTCTGTAGGCCTTTTGTGACCTTTGATCTTGATCTCTTTTGACAGACTGCCTTCCCTGTAGAACTCTCAGTTGTTTCCCACACCCATCAATATTGATTAAGCTTGGAGTGCAGACAAGAAATCTTGCTCCTAGATGCTGTTCCAAATGATTCTCTCTCCTTCTTCTTCCTAAAAACAGTTTTGCCTTTCAGACTATCCAATTGCTTTAGTCATTTACAGATCATCAGATTATTTCCTTTCATTCTTTGAAGATTTCAGCCCTTGACTAAATTCAATCCTTTTTTTATAACTGACAGTTTCTTTGTAAGCCAATATGCTCACAGATGATCCTTCTAGCAACAACCTAACCTCCATTTCAAAGAACCCATTCTTCATTACTCCTATCAATTTTAGCTTACTTCTCTAGTACACAATTATCAACCCTTTAATCCTCACATTCTCCATATTATCACTAACTCTTAATTCTACATTTCCACTGATCCTCAGTTCTTGTTATCTTCATTCTCTTCTTAACCCAGTTAAAAATTCTACTGCAAATCTTTTATACTCTTAACCACAATCCTGGCTAATTTAAATCTATCTCTGAAGACAAGGACAAAACCCAAGCTGGTTAAATTCATCATCTCAAATGCACCCTTGTACCAACCAGCAATCATACATTTGTCCCTCACTATCCACAGGGGACTGTTTTTAGAACTTCTACGCTGTGGATACCAAAATCCATGTAAGTTCCTTACATAAAAAGAGTGTACTATTTGTATATGACCTGTGCAGTCTCCTATGTATTTTAAACCATTTCTAGATTAATTATAATACCTAATGCAACATAAATGCTATGCAAATGTTGTTATACCATATTGTTTAGAGAATAAGGAGCAGGAAAAAAAAGTGCACAGGTCCAGTACAGATCCAGTATTTTTCCAAAGTATTTTTGATCCGGTTGTTAACTGTGAATATGGAATCTGCAGATACAGAACCCTTAGATATAGAAGGGGTACTGTATATGTATTTTCCTAGGTAAGTCCATCTGTATAATAGAAGACATTCCCCCCAAAATAATGTTCCTGAAATTTTCCCTAATAATTAATTAATTATAATAATTAATTTTTGCATTAATTATTCTCTCTGCTGGCTCATTCCCACCATCATTCAAGAATCCCATTATCTGACCCCATCATCTCCCAGTGTTGTACTTTTTCAAGATGGCTTGAAAGAGTTGGTACATTTATTGTCTCAAATTCTTCTCTACACATTCTCTCTGGAATCCATACCAGGTTTAGGTGCCCATTTCAAAGCAACTTGTCATGCGATCACTGTTCTGAATTCACATAGCTCAATCAAATGGTTAATTATCAGACCTTAACTGACCAACCCATTGCATCTAACACAAATTATGACCTTTTCCTACTAAAGTAAAAACCATTTCTTCTTGGTTCAAGAATACAACACTAATCTGGTTTCCTTCCTACTTTCCTGGTCACTTCTCATCTCCCAGGCTTCTAAATGTTGACAGTGCTCTAAGACTCAGACTGTTTTTTCTTAAATCTATACTCATCTCTCAAGATGTTCTATTCTTTTGTGATTTTAAATCCCACGTTGATTCTGAAAACTCCCAAATTTCTGACTCCTAGTCAGGACACCTCTCCTGAAGCCTAAATATGTACATATGTCCAACTGTCTACAACACACTTCCTCTTGCAGGTATAGTAGGCATCTTCCCAAATGGGTCCCTGAAATCCTCACTAAAATTCTCACTAGCAGCCCTGCCTAGTCTGTGAAATGGCAACTCATCTTCCATTTACTCAGATCCAAATCCTTGAGATCATCTTTGTTTTCTATTCCTCCACAGCAAATTCCATTGAATCTACCTTTAAAATGTATCTGGAATCAGGCCACTTGTCACTTGCCTCCAGTATAATCCACCAACATCATCTCCTACCTACATTACTCTAATAGCTACCTAACAGCTATGTTTGCTTCCTTTTACTCTAACACCCAAGAGTTCATTTTTCAATACAGAAAGCAAAGCCCAATCCTTGTAACGTGTAAGTCAGGTCATAATTACTTAAAAATCCTGTTCCGTTTGCTATTCCCCCCAAGGGGTTACATGGCTTAGTCCTTCAAGTCTTTACCTCAGTGAGTCTTCTCTAGTTATACTACCCAAAAACAAAAAACAAAACATCAAAAAAAAACCCAACACACTCAATTGTCTTTTTAATCACTCTTCCTTGCTTTATTTTTCCTCTTATTTTCACTACCGGACACACTATATAGTTCATATATACATCTGATATATATGGAAAAATTCATCATGTGTACACATATGTGTTCTCTCTCTGTATGTCTCTTTTCCTCTCCAAGTAGAGTGTAATCTATCATTATGAGAAAAGGCATTTTTGTATATTCCAGTGGTTGGACCAATGGCTAGTACAAAGTAGCTCAAACATTTCTGTTGAATGAATAAGAAAATGAATTTAAATAAAGCAAATAATTTTCCTATGGGTTATATCAACTCCCAGAATACGTTGGGAGGAAAAAAGAAAATTCAAAAGGAAATCAAATAATTCTGTAGTTCCGAGTCACTTCTTTAAAAAGTAGTCCAGGTCTCCTAAAGGTTATAAGAACAAATTAAATGATTTGAAAAAAAAAAACAAACTATTATTCTTAAACAAAACAAAACAACTTCCTAAGAACTGAAGTTTTTTTTTTTTTAAGCAAGCTATTAAAATAAACTGGGCACTATGCATTCCAACTTAAATACAAATTACCTGGTGAATGAATTCTACACTAGGGGATCTTTTATTATGACATTGCTTATATTAAACTTTGTTTCTGTCAAGCTACTAAAACATTTCACCTAAGTTTTCAAAATCTTTTAAAAACCAGGCGACTAAAAGACATGTTTATGTTAGTATAAAAACATACCAGAGGTGGCTACAAACAGTGATAAATTATAATGCATTAAAGCAAAATGAATATAGATTCTTACATAGAAAGCATTTGCAATCTAAGATCAAAGTCAAAATGTTGTATAAGAGCATTTACAAGATTGCTGTTGAGTAATGGAGCTTATTTTAAGTTAAGCTTGCTGTAGATTGGTTTTATAAAACAGGTGCGTAACTCTGATTTCAATGGGTCCCCCTCCTTCCAGCAACTAGTAAATGTTCTTCCTTAATTTTGGTTTGGCTTTAAATATGGGAGGACAACGTTTTTAACGAAAAAGTAAAACCCTAAACACCTTGTGATTCATATAGATAGGAGACTTTGGTAACACTGAAAAACACTGTCAGGTGATTGGTACAGAATGACTATTTTCAGATACAGGTCTAAAGATTCCAACATAAATGTCACTCTCCTAACCACCTCGTTAACAGTCCTCTAGACAGGGCACACACAAGACAAGTTGTTTTGATAGTTGCTCCTTATCGGTTTCACCATCAACAAAGTGCATGGGATGTGGGACTTCAGCTTTGGCCATCATTCATTCGCAAAAATGCCAGTGCCTACAGTGTACTGAGCCCTGAAAGGTTATCTAAAAATAACTGAATAAAGACACGCTTGATCTCAAGGAGAGTCAGACGAAGGGGAAAACATCAACTGGGAAATGACTTGGGGTACCCGGGCGACGTTAGCCACCGTTCATTTAACGCCTGGGAGTGGACGAGGCATACTCGACTTCATGGCGGCAAGATGCCAAGACTCACTCCACAGTCCCCAGAGGCGGACGAGCCCGACCCCCACAGCCGGCACGCACACGTGACAGCATGTCCCCCGGCCGCGCGGGAAGCCTGGGGGACAAGAGGCCGCTCTCAGGCAGCCGTCCTCTCCCAGCGGCCGGCTCGGGGGGCGCAGAGTCGAGGGGAGTGGAGGCTCCTCTCTGGGACGGTGGCATCCGCGACCACAGTCGTGGCGGCTGGCAGGGGACAGCAGCAGCCCAAGGCCGGCATCGCAGGAGGTGAAGCGCGCCGCGCCGCCCGCCCGCCCTAGGTGCTGCCAGCTGTCCCGCCAGAGCCGCTGCCACGCGCTGCTCCAGTCTCCGCCACCTGGAGGCCTAATCAGAGGATAAACGTCCCCACGGTCTCTCCAAAGTGGCAGGCAGCAAGGGGCCAAATTCCCCCCACCTACTCACGTACTTGGAGAAAACGATCCCGCCGTGGCGGGGACTGCAGAGACCGAAACAGCTCCTGCCTTCACGTCTCAGCCACACAGCGTGTTCCTACCGCCACCGACCAAAATGGCGGTGCCCAGCCGCCGCCTCGCGCATTCCATGAGGGCGTAGTACGCGTGCGCGACGGAGCGCGAGGCGGAGCTCCGGGGGTAGGTAAGGCTGACGGCGTGACGTCGTCTCCCTGCGCCGCCATCCCTCGGCGAACACAATTTACGTCACTGGGTGGGGGAAGCCAGGCTGTTCCAAGCTGCAGAGTGGGAGTGGTGAGCATCTGCGGGAGGTCCTGAGATCCTGAGCTTACCTGTCTACCCGGGTCTGGAAGCTGTGAGTGTGCGGGCTCTTCCTAGACACCGACAACGGTCCTCGCGTCAGCAGATGCACTCTTCTCCCCAGTCTCCATTTCCCTTTACGTTCGTGATCTCTCCTAGCCTTGGTGGGTCAGGAGTGCAACCGCTAGTCATTCTGTACACCTGCGGGCTCAAGCAGGGCCAACGTCTACTCCGTACAGTGCTCACGGTGGCGTTCTGTCCTTGGCCTGGGTTCCCTCCAACGAGTGGTGTTCAGCTCTTCCAGGCCGTGAATCCAGTCGTCTTCTACCTCCGTGTTTTATCCGCTTGGTGGCGTCCAGTCCCAAGTCCGTCAGTTGAATTCTGCCCCCACGTAGAGATGGGCTTTTCTTCTCTCTCTCTCTCTCTCTCTCTCTCTCTCTCTCTCTCTCTCTCTCTCTCTCTCGTCTTCCTGCCTCCTTCTTCTCTCCTCTCTCTCTCTCTCTCTCTCTCTTTCTCTCTTTCTCTGTCTTCCTGCCTCCTTCCTTCTCTCTCTCTCTTTCTCTGTCTTCCTGCCTCCTTCCTTCCCTCTCCCTCTCCCTGTCTTCCTTCTCCGCCCCCCGCCTCTTTCTCCCTGTCTCTTTTCAGTCCGTTCTGCCTTTCCCTCCCTCTCTTCCCTTCCCCTCTCCTCCCTTCTATCCCTCTCAACTCCACTTTCCTTCCTTTGTTTCTCCTCCATTCCTTTCTCCTCTCTCCCTTTCTTCTTTCTTTCCCCGAAGTTTACAGTATAGTGTCTCTGCCATTTAATGATTGTTATTTGCCTGGTGGTATGGGAGCAACTTGGGTTCTAATGGGAGGTGTCAAGGATATGGTAATAGATTTATTGTATTTGTTTAGCCTTTTAAATAACCGTACTACTGAAGCAGTTTAACATACTCTTCACTGTTCAAGAAGTATTTTTGTTCATATTTGCATAGATTTACCAATATTAAAAGATAAGACATGA